ATCTTTAATATTTGGCCATTTCTTTAGGACAGAAATGCTATAGCCACTGTAATTAAAAGAATATGTGGACAACCAAACAGGTAAACTCAGAGTGAGTGTTTGAGCTTTTATTTTGAAACCACGATGTATTCTCCTGAGTTTGCGTGGATTTATAAATTATTTACCTTACAAATCTGATGAAATGGCGCATGTTGCGTTCCCAGATGAACGTTATAATAAACCCAAACTCACAACAACATGCAGAGATGGAGTTTGAGACGCTCCACACATGTAAACAGTTCCTGTGGAACTACTGTGAACAGAGCCGCTGTGTGACGCATGTACTTAACCTACACGCATGTAAATAAAGCGCATATACTGTATTAGAACTGCATCGCATATAATTATTTAAATCGTAGCGTTTGTGAATTCACAATTATGCTTAATAATGATTTTTAAACTGGTTTAATATATCACGCAGCCTTGGGAAACAGTCTAATAATGTGTTTTATGGATTCTCATCCGTGAAATGCGCCACTTCCCTTATTTTGCCGGTTAGTCGACGCAGGCAACATGAAGTTGAGGATTTTAAAAATTCGAATAGTCGAATAAAATCGACGAATCGCAACAGCCCTATTTTATTCTCAGAAATTCTGTGTTGTGTATTTTAATTTTCAAATGAAGGCATAAAATATTAATTTATCTTTTAATGAAATGAAAAACTTTATTTACTTTAACTTTTTGGCAAACAAAGGGGATTTAGTGTTAAAAAGAAAATATGGAAGAAGTATTGTGTTATTATTCCTATTATTTTAGTAGTAGTAGTAGGTACAGTCTACTGAACAACAGTAGGCTAATATATTTCTGACACAATTTCTTCAAGTTAAACCGAACTTATATTTTGACTACCTTTTTGTTTGTGTGTGTATATGATATATCCGTCTGCGTGTAATCACAGGGTCCTAAGCATCTTCTCTCAGCTGTATTGTGTGTGTGATTTATTCTCCTGTTTGTCGCTGAAGGGCAGACCGTGTCCACCGTCGATGAGGAGAAGAAGTTCAATCCACGGCTGACGAAGACTCTCCCTGAGTTTGTGAACATCATGAACAACCTCAACCTCCCCAAACCTAAGAAAATAGGTACAGTATGTGTTTATTAATGCTGCATGATCAATTACAATACACTGCAGAGATTTATCAGTATAAATTACATATTGTGTTTTGGAATAATTGGGATTTTTCAGTGTTTTTGAAAGAA